ACTAAAACATGAGAAAAATCTTTGAGTTCTTATTTTTGTAAATAATTTGGTATTATTTTGAAACATATTTTCAGATAAAGCAAAGATTATGTTAATGTCATTAGTAATGAAGATTTTCAGGATAAGAGAGAAAAGATACAAAAAGTAAAAAGATTTAATTTAAACTCTATAATCTTAAATATGAATCAGAAATATTGACAGTTTTCTTTTTCTACAAATTATGTATTTTACAGCTTTGTCCGTTGGAAAGACCTAGAAGCAATGATAACTGATTAGCAATTAACAGCCTTGTCTTAAATCTCATTTCTCAGAAAGATCATTGATTGTGAGCCTAGAGCAGGAAACGTACAAAGTGCGTGTGGGACGGTTTGTCATAGCAGAACGCAGGAAAGTAGATGTTTGAGGTTGTGCAAAAAGGACATGGAGCCAATCTGCAGGGGTTCCCACTGGACAAAGAAGAGACAATTTCAGCGTTAAAATGAATAATGACTGCAATGGATTGAAACTAATTAAATACATATGACTTCTATGAATTGATAATGACAACAAAAAGTCAAAACCACTTGAATCACATTTGGAGGTTTCTAGAGCATTAACTCATTATTCAGAACATTGTTAAAGGGAAGCATGTAAGTGTTTTAAAAGTCATTTTCGATAAATGGAAGTTCCTCCTCTGGATCTCTTTTAAGAAATCCTCTTCCTTATACGTAGTCTCTCCCCTCCATCTTTTTCTTTTTAGATATGTGTGTGTATATGTATGTGGAAGAGAACAAAGATAAGGTTGGACTATGTTTAATACACGTCAGCTTTGCTTATGGGTCAAAGTAAGAAGTTGAAAGGCAGCCGTCACATCTGCTAAAATCTGTATTTTTCCCAGTTTCTCCACGTTATCTGACAGTCTTTTGGACTTAGTTAGTGTGCTTTGGGCACACCTTAAGATTTCAGCGGTCTCTAACTGACTTTAAAGGCATTGGACAAAACAGTTCTGTTCATTTTCTAAGAATAAAACCATCACCTGCCCACAAGCCCCTTTTTGAGAAATAACTATAGAGTGCTTGAATTTGCCCTCTGGACCTTGCTAGCTTGTCCTTTTAGACCAAAAGAAGCCAGATAGGCCTAGGTTGGAATAGCAAGCACAGCTGTGTCTGTACTGACCAGATGAGGCATGTCGTGTGCAAAGCCTCTGGAAGGCTGTGTTTTCATTCAGAAAGAATCCCTGAGACCTGCAGGACTTGCACATACTATTCTTCCCCCTCCCAGCATTCAAGAAACAATGACCTGTATCATTTAATAGGCAATGGTAATATGATCTCTTGGAAAGAGCCCAGAATTGGGAATCTGAAAAGTGTTTTCCTAGAGAGTCAGATTCTGTGTTTATACTGACCTAACTTTGTAATTCTGGAAGTTTATTTGCTTTTTAATTAACATTAAAAGTTTTTTTTGATCAGTCTTGTTTTTATTTTTTCTGGTGTATTATTTTAAAGCAAATCTTTGATAATACTGCATTTCAATGTAAATACTTCCTTATTGGCAATGTCTTTGACCTCTGTAGACCTCTCTACTGAGAGAAAATATTTCCTGCTTCATTATTTCATGAACAAGCTGTGAGAGAACAAAATGGAAATATTTTACATATAAGAATGCTAATGAAACTAAAGATACTGTTGATTCTAGATTATTTCGAGTGTCATCTCTAAAATGAAAATTGTGATTTGTCAAGTCACTGCACTTCAGCCTAGGTGACAGAGCGAGACCCTATCTCTTTAAAAAAAAAAAGTGATTTGTTTTTAAATGGGCATACTGAAAGTAGAAAATCAGGCTGATTATGTTACAGAAAAATACATAAATTTGGTTTTATATGAAACTGGTTTTCTAGAATTTTTATGCATTTTTAAAAAGGCTGGTTCAGTTTTGTTGTTATAGTTAGTTAGAAATAAATATTTGGTGCCAGGCACATTGGCTCACGCCTATAATCCCAGCATTTTAGGAGGCCAGGGCAGGAAGATAGCTCGAGGCCAAGAGTTCAGGACCAGCCTGGACAACGTAAGTGAGACCCTGTCTCTACTTACTAAATAAATAAACAAACAAACAAACAAAAAATATATATATATATTTGGGCTAAATGTAGTGTTCAGCAAACCAACATGATTATTTCAGCTTCTCATTCAAGTTTCTAAGGACCATTCTCTTTTCTCTCCCCTGCAAATAGAGCCTGGTATTTCAACATCAGATATTCTGTCTTGGATTAAACAAGAGGAAGAGCCTCAGGTTGGGGCCCCACAGGAGTCCAAGGAGAGTGACATATACAAGACCACCTATCCTGGTGAGTAAGATGTTGAAGAGGTTCACATCAGATCCAGCTCATGCCAGGACTGACTGAAGAAGCAGCAGATGGAATGGGGTTGTAGAGGCAAGGTTGTGGGAGAAGCATGAGGAAAGGAATAAAGACATGCTCAAATAAGCTAGAAATGAAACCAAAGATCACTAAGATAACTTTTGAGTGAGGAAATACACTCTTACATACAAATTAGAACTGGCAGAGGAAGAAAAATAAGTACATACAAATGGACCAAAAGTATGAGGGTGGGGAAAAACAGAAGAACATTTGAAGATCATGTAGAAAAGGTAGAACAAAAATAGGGAGTGGGTTGGGGGGACAAGCAAGGGAGACAGAAATGCCATCAGAGAGGTACCCGTGGGGATGTTAGGAAGAGCTCTCCCTTGGGAAAAGGAAAAACAATGACAGAGAAGAAACAGAATTATCTTCCTTCTAAGATATTTAGTGCCATCTGTATTTTGCCATTTGATTTATAGAAGAGAATCTCAAGGTCAGAAGGGACCCAGTTTTTTTTTTTTAGTATCGTCCATGCCCTGTGTTTTTTTCAACTGGGAAATGCAAATGAAAAATAAGACAGTTTCTGCTCTTGGAAAAACTTACACTGGAACACGCACATCAATACTAAGCATGCTCGTTGTTAAGTGTCAAAGGTGAGTGGGATGGGTGCTTATATAAAAGAAATGAGAAGTTTCAAGAACATGCATCTGTTTTAGTTTAGGTAGTTAGATAAGGCCTAAAGGAGCATGTAAAGCCAGAATCGGCCTTAGATTGGTATGATACAGCTGAGTATAATTTGGGAAGAGGCAGAGAGGGGGAAACATTCTGCAAAAGGGAAGACAGCGTGAGCAAAGAGGCAGAGCAGAAATGTGTGCTCTGTTTTCAGGGAATGTAAGGACAACTGACTATAGTGAAGGGTTTATCTGATAGACTAGAGAGGAATAGGAGTAGGTAAACATGTGATTTTAGGCTTTGTCACAACAGGCAACAGAAAGTTCTTGAGCAGAGGTGAAACATGACAGTAATGTTGGGAACATTGATGCCAAGGCTTTTCCTTTTCTAAACAGGGAGCATCGAAGAGGTATAACGTTAGATTTTCTGGTGATTTGCCACAGGGACTAAGGATGCCTCGATTATTATCACAGCCCTCCACCGAGTTTCTTAACTGAGCCAATTAAGAGCTTAGGGCAATCTGTTAGGGCTGGGTAGGAATGCATGAGAGTAGCTAGTGAGACAGTTGCTGACAGGTATAACTCTTGAGTCCTTTCTTTCAGATGAAGAGCTTGTCATCAAAGCTGAAGGCCTTGCTCCAGCGTCCTTGTGCCCCGAGGTTCCAGTCCCCTTCTCTTCTCCACCACCAGCAGCAGCAAAGGATGCTTTTTCAGATGTGGCTTTCAAAAGCCAACAGTCCGCATCCATGACACCTTTTGGACGTCCAGCCAGTGACCTGCCTGAAGCCTCTGAGGGACAAGTGACTTTCACTCAGTTGGGCAGCTACCCCCTCCCACCTCCAGATGGGGAGCAGGTGTTCTTATGCCACCACTGTGGCAAGAGTCTCAGCCAAGACATGTTGCTGACCCACCAGTGTAGCCACACCGGGGAGGACCCCTTACCCTGCACTCAGTGCCCTAAGCACCTTCCTCCACAGGCCAACCTCAGCAGCACCCCCCAGGACCCTGCCAGTGAGACACCCCCCACCTGCCCACACTGCGCCAGGACTTTCACTCACCCATCAAGACTCACCTACCATCTTAGGGTCCATAACAGCACTGAGCGCCCTTTTCCCTGTCCTGATTGTCCCAAGCGCTTTGCTGACCAGGCCCGACTCACCAGCCACCGGCGAGCTCATGCAAGTGAGAGGCCCTTCCGCTGTGCGCAGTGTGGCAGGAGCTTCAGCTTGAAAATTAGCCTCCTGCTCCACCAGCGAGGCCATGCACAAGTGCGGCCTTTCTCCTGCCCTCAGTGTGGCATTGACTTCAATGGCCACTCAGCCTTGATCCGCCACCAGATGATCCACACAGGCGAGCGTCCTTACCCATGCACTGACTGCAGTAAGAGCTTTATGCGCAAGGAACACCTGCTGAACCACCGGCGGCTGCACACGGGCGAGCGGCCCTTTAGCTGTCCTCACTGCGGCAAGAGCTTCATCCGCAAGCATCACCTCATGAAACACCAGCGCATCCACACTGGGGAGCGGCCCTACCCCTGCTCCTACTGTGGCAGAAGTTTCCGCTACAAACAGACACTCAAAGACCACCTGCGTTCAGGCCACAACGGAGGCTGTGCGGGTGATAGTGACCCATCCAGACAGCCGCCTGACCCACCAGGTCCCCTCTTAACTGGGCTCGGAACATCTGGCCTAAGTGTTAACACTGAAGGTCTAGAGGCCAACCAGTGGTATGGGGAAGGGAGTGGAGGGGGAGTTTTGTAAATATAAATCTCGGTGGCTTCATGGTTATCTATGGGCAGAAAATGCAAGAAAAAGCCTATGAGCCCCTCCACCACCCACAGTAATTATTATCTGGCACGTCAGTGAATTTGGGGTCCTATACACTTGACTAGAGACACTGCTTGTGCTTTGGAACTTCACAGCATTACAAGAATACCACATTTTGAAACCCAGAAAGACCTGGAAAAGAGCCCAGCATCTCCATCTTCAAAGATACCACAAAAGCAAAAGTTATAAGAACATTTCAGAGAGGTTGGAAAGCAAGATTTGACCTCTGGTTATTCTATGATCACAGGATAACAGATTGATAATAGATTGTGTTTCTAGGTAGAAACAGGTGGACAGGAAGAGCCTCCAAAGCTTGAAGCCCATCGTGAGGCATGAGAATGTTTAACTAAAGCCTTTTGTTAATTCCTTGATAGGTAAGATGGTTGTTGGAGGAAGGTGCTTAAGCCACTGTTGATGTAACTGCCTCCTTTCTAAAAACCAGCCACAATCTGTTCACACGCCTGTTTGACTGCCTTTCCCTGAAACATGGTAACTCAAGACTACCTTCCTAGATTAATTCTAATACATTTTGTTTAATTGGGTGAACAAGAAATCTGACTTCAAAGCTTATAAGGAGAATATTTCCTCACTTTACTGGCTTGATTTGAAGCATTCAGGTTCTTACTGGCATTTAAACTACTAGAAACCTTTGCCATGATTCTGGTTAAAAAATTGATTGTAGTGTTCTCAGCCCCAGCTTTGAAAGCTGGGGATCCCAGAGAAATAGGTGGCGTAACAGTGACAGGACAGCCTAAAATTTGTGCCTACACCATGTTTCTAGAGTTATTTACATCAAATTCTTCCTTATCTTTTCCAAGCCAGAAAGCTGGCTTTTCCATTCCTGATGTCTGGTATTCTTGGCAGTCATCAGCAACAAAGATCACAGCACTTTCCAGAACCATTACGGAGTTTCAGAAAGTGCCAGCAGACTCTTGACTTTCATTTCCTCAGTAGTGAGAGGATAACAGGGTTGCAATGCAGCTTTCTTGGGCCATCAGGGAGAGTGTATGTTCACCCATCTGGCTCTACCCCACTGGCAGTAGACAGACTGAGGAACTTCCTAGATCATCGAGAGCTAAGCGCCCTGCATAGACAAAGGCAGCCTGTTCCTGCTTGTTTTGCTTTTAGGGACCTTGACTACTGTGTATTCTTTTCTTGAGGTCATTTAATCACCTGGGACCATCTGAGTGTGGTCTTACTCCTCAGTGTCTTTGCAGCTGGGTATAAATCACTTTCCCTTTACAGATCTCAAATTTCATCTGCGAAATGAGATTGTCAATAGGAAAAAGGGAAAATTATTCTTTAAAAAATCTTGCGATACATTCCTTCCCCTGCCAGAATCCTGTCTCTTGTCTTTGGCTTCTGTCCAGGCAAAGCCAAAAAAGACAGCAAAATCAAAGCAGAGAAATTCTTGCTGAAACTTGACTGAAACGAATTTGATATGTTGTTTTACTTCTGCTTGGAAGCCTGAAATAGAAGACAGGGAATACAGAAGCCCTACGTCTAGGGAAGAAAAGTTGTTTGTTCCTACACTCTCTTGTTTCCCTTGATTCTTCCGAAGATACCTGGAACAAAGTCTGGAAATACTTAGGATACTTTCTTGATGAAATGATAAGCAAGGGACCCATTTTTTCCTTATCACCTAGCCCAACCTTCACTCTGCCTAGTTATGCTTAACCATGTTAGGAAAAGGTGTTAGCCCAGCTAGCTTTGCTTCTGGGAAGGCTCTGTCTGAACATGCTACTTTTTAGGGTAATCCCATTTATAAAACATTTGCTCTGTGACATTCACAATACCAGAGACCGTGGGAGACATAAGAAATGTGTGTGAGACCTAGTGTGCTGTCATAACTTACAATCTAGATGCGGAAAAAGCCCACTGGTTTAGAACAAAACAGATGATGAACAGATCCCTGGCATGTCTGGATTAAGAGCTTTCTAGCCAGAATCTGGACCTACAGCATGGGGAAATTTGGGGGTTCTGGGAATCCCAAAGCCAGGGTTCTGGCTTCATTGGTGACCCACTAGGAACTTGAGTATGAAATTCGGCTCTGATTTGTACCTTGATTTCCCCAGTGAAAACGGACAAGAGTCAAAGTACAGTCTTTGGTGGTGGGCTTCCTTTTCTGGGTGGATTCAAGCATTTTCCAGGGTATCGTGGAGAAGGGATTCTTACACTAGGTGAGATGTGGGACTAGGTAACACCTAAAATTCTTTTTTACTCAAAGATTTGACAAGGACACAGCTTATTAATGAAAGAGACCTGTATGTTAAAGTGGTGCAGATATATTCTAGAGCCCCTTCTGCAAGGAACTGTAACCAGCAGGGACCTAAATTTGGCAAATAGTGGACATAGTTCAAATACCAATGATGCTTCATAAAGCTGAATGAAAGGGAATGTGTAAGATCATCCCAGAAAGATGGGAGTAGGTGCGAACCTGTTCCTCAGCCCTGGCACAAAGTACAACTGTTACACGTTCTGTTCTTTTTCTCCATCAGTCCCCTGCCAGGTAGCACTCCAGGCTAGCTATAAAGAGTGTTTGCTTAAGATTCAAAGGTGAATAAATAAAATGGATCAATGGAAAAGATAAAGTCTAACAGGAAGGTTTTAGTGTGTGGAAGAGAAACTCTTGGCCCATCAAGTGCTGCTGAGAGAAACCATGCATTTAGCTCTGTAGTTAAAGAAGTACCTGAGGACTGGTTTTCCTGAGCAGACAAGATAGGAAAGAGGAAACCCCAGAAATGTGCTCTTCATCTGTCCACCCTCTGGACTAAGAAGTCTGCACTATCACACATAGGCACCATCTCCTTGGAGTGGATCCAGGTGTTGACTATAACCAGACTTACTCTTTGCTTACTAGGTTTTTCATTATTACCATTGGATGATCCTCTGGGTCAGCCACCTATGTGAAAAGGAAGTTCGTTGATTGTCTAGAAAGTGAAAGAAGATAACCTTGGTCCTTTTCTGTTGAACATTTGATATTGAAAACACCTTAGCTGGACTCTAGAGCAGTGCTCTCCATAACTTCCCTCATCAATAATAAAGTCTGCAAAGTAGTGTTTAGCACAGAACCCGACACATAGCAGGTTCAGTATGGTAGCTATCAGGAACGATTTTACAGGACCAACCAGAGGGGGCCAGAAAGCCAGGCTCAATTTGAAGTGGAAAGTGTCAAGAACTGAGGCTGTGCTACAGAAGCACGTGGTCACTGGGATGTCTCTGCTTGTTGCCTGCCATCATCTTTTGCTTCCATTTAGCCTGTTCTTCCACCTCTTCTGTACCTCTTGGCTTCTGTAAGTTTCTGCGTGCCATGATACTAATATGGCTCTGATTCTTTTAGTTTTTCTTAGTTCGGATTCTATAGTGGGGAATCTGGCCCAGCTCTTCTTTTTGTACCAGGCCACAGAAGTTTCCAGCCAACCCTTGGATTGGCTGCCCTTGGGATATGTACATGTTCATCCTGGTTCAGCTGGCTACAGTTAGGTGTGAAGGTCCTGTGGCCCCCGCACCGGCATCTGTGGGCCTGGTAGATTCACTTGGGAATGGGCAAACAGTGACATAGTGTGGCATTTCTAGTACTACCAGGATAGAGAGACTCTCTGTTTAACCTGTATTAGGGTTCCTTAAAAGACTTCTACTTCCTAAGTGCTGTCATAGGCCAGAGCATATTATCCCTTGCATAAAGGACCTGGAAGGTGGTGTTTATGTATCATGCAGAAGGAGTCATTTGTCACTTTCTAGAGTCTTATTCCTCCCTTTCTGGACCTGCTCTAGTTTCTTTTTAAATAAGTAACTCTAGCCACAGTCATACACACAATGACTTTTGTCAACTAGGTCAATTAAATTGTCTCCTCACAACAAATTATTTCACCCCTAAGCCCAACCCACCCTTCAGAGAAGGCAGGTAGACACAGCCCAATAAGAGATGCCTCAGAACTAGCATGCTGCAATGCTCTCGAAGATTGCCAGGTTACATTTCAGATAAAATATTTGATAAAACCTCATTGAGCGACGTGGCTTTGTGTGTGTTTATCAGCAAAGCCAGTATTTACTGTAAAATCTTGAGACTGCTCTAAAGTTAAGCTACCCAGGAACAGAGGCCATATCTTATTTTGTATCCTGTATGGTACCTTTTGCTGTAGGCACAGGGATGCACCATGATTAACTGTATGGTGGGAAGACCACTGGAGTAGAAGTTAACTGGGTTATGGTCCTTGCTTAACTTTCTCTACATGATATAGGGCAAACTGTTTAATCTATGAAGATCTTTTTCCTAGTTCTAATGTGAAGAATGAACAAAATGGTAATATATTTTTATGTATAGGGACCTTATAAGGTCCCTTCCAACTCCAACATTATAGAATTTAAGATTGTACTTCTGGGTCCTGTTTCTTTGGTTTCTTCCTACTTAGGTTTTGCCCTATTGAGTGATTGCTTCAGCACAGCAGAATAAACACCTTGGAGAGGGATGCATTATTACAGAATAAAGAGTCTCATTCTAACCATATTATAATTACTTCAAAGCCACACACACTGACAAAGTTCTAGCAAAAGTATAAAATTTTGTTTTAAATACTTACGAAGTATACGTTTACATATTTTAAAGCATAGGAAAATAAAAGGAAAACACCAAAATAATTCTTTTGCTAGGGTGCTAGGGTCATTCAATGATTACTTTTCCCTATAAATTTTGTGTAATGTAAAGACAGCACTTTGTGTAAAGCATTTTTAAAACTTTTGTAAGAATGAAGATTATTGTAATGAAAAAGATCCTGGTAAGGAAGTCAGGAGGCCGGAGTTTTAACCTTTCGGTTTCTGTATTCATACTGTGAGGATAATACCTATTGTACAAAGGTGTTGTGAGGGTCAGATGAGGGAAGACCTATACTGTAGGCATAAGAAGAAAGTGTTGGTATAGTAGATGCAGGAGAATTACTTGTTGACTAAACAATTTCCTGGATAATGTTGATGCTTCTCTTCATTCAAGGCTGGGCCGTAGTCATTTATTCATTTCCAATTTACTTGCCTGTGCTGGGGAGAAGCTAGCCCAAGACTGCAATTTGGGGAGCAGTGGGAGAAGCAAAATCATGCGTGGGCAGAGATTGAAAACAAAGTTTAATGCAGAAAATATCAGGTTGACCTATATAATGCGTTGACTTCTACCAGCAACTTTTGTAAAATAATCAGTTTTATCTATAGGAAGAATTAGATCAGCAAGGTGGTAGGAACATTACTGGAGAGACTTGATTAAACAAGCAGAATTCAAAATTAAGGATGTACATAAATCTATATCAAGTCAGTTCTTGGCCCTGAGTTTACATTTTTAAAAAATTGTATTAATATAAGAAAATCTCTACAACCTCAATGAGCAGGATAAAAACAAGAATAAGTATGTTATGAGCCAGTAGGTAATAATTTAGGATGTTCATTTCCCTAAATGATCTTGTGGGGTTGAGACAAGGAGATGAGGAACAACAGGAAGATTCTTCTGCACTGGTTTGTTCGTGGCTGAACATGAGAATAATGTGGGGAGCTTAACAAAATATTTGTGCCGGGGCCCACCCTGGCATGATTTGATTGGACTGTGATGGGGCCTGCATGTTTACTTTGTTTTTTAAAGTTCCCCCAAGTGACTTTCATGTACCTGCAAAGTTTAGAATGTCATAGAGAAAGTGAATTATTGGACTGGGAATGGTCAGCCTGCTTTAGTGGAGCAGAGAGCTGTGGATTGGAGATTAATGAAGGGTCTTTGAATCCACAATAGGGAGTCATGATTTGATTCTAGAGGCAGGACTCAGAAGGAAATAAGGCGGGGGAATGGTTGGCAAAGTTCTGACTGATCTCAACAGTTAAGGTAGGAGCTCTAGAGGCAGTGGGAAAAGCAGCATCCACCTCAGCTGTGCCTACTCTGCCCAGAGCCTGGGATAGAAAATACTGGCAGGACTGGGAGCATGGATGAGAATGGTACCCGTGCCTGTGCTGTGGACCTAACCAACCTCTGTCATGGTGAGGCTGGCATCTCCTTGTAAGAGCAGTTTGTTGAACAAAAAGGGACTGGTGACATTCTTACCAGTTTGTATTTAATAATAAGACATGGTTCTAATACCTTATTTTTACATTTGGAGAAACTAGTATGTTTCTGAATGAGCACCAGACTTTATTTTGAATAAATTTTGATCACTTTTAGTAATCAAATCTGCACTTAACAGTCGAAGAGTTGCCCATTGAGAAGATTGAAGAGACTATACTGCAACTGCCAACATGTAAGACATGTCTTCTACATGAAGGGTTTCTGAGCCTTCGGTGTCTGTTGTGTTTATAACTATTGAGTAGCTCGTGCACCTAGTCACCCAAACCATTACCCATTTACCAAGACAGAGGAAAGGCACCATAGAGTCATTAAGAACTGAAGAGAAGCCAGTGAACTTCACTCTACAGTGTCAAAACTTGTAAAGGTGATGAAATGCTTATTTGAAGTAGACTAAGAATAAACTCAATAGGGAAAAAGTAGTATTTTCTCCAAACCTTGCACAGGTATAAGGCAAAATTTTCAGAAGGAGGAGAAAAGGAGAGAGGGAGAATGTATGTGTGTTTGGGTATTGAAAGTTTGAATTAAAATGCTGGCAAAAGGTGGGTCTATAAAAGGCAGGGATGTTGAAAACTCATTAGCAAGAGCAAATTGCCCTTAAAACTTTTTAATACAAAAAATTGGACTGTGACTCCCACATTAACACTTTCTGCCCCTTCTAAGTGGTCTTGGAGCTTCATCACCTTGTTCCCAGCACCCCTCCTGTCCATAATGCCCACCTCTGATTTTTAGTCAAGCAGAGGATGTCAATGACATTGTGACCTAAGGAGTTTCTCTTCCTTGGAGGTTGGCATAACCAGGCACAGTGTCCTAAAGCGAAGGTAGCTGCAACCTCACGCCAGTGAGGGAGGAAAGCCTGAGGATCCGAGGCTGCCCTTATCGCCCTGTCTCGGTGACCATATCGGCAGTCCTTACCCTGCTCACTAAATTAGGTATGGGGCGATACCAAGATAGAAGTGCAAAGCTGGTAACCCTCTTTACTTAGCTAAGATTAGGTCTAGAGGTTTTCTTCCTCAAATAAAGCTTTGCTGTAGTTGTTGAGAGGACATGGAGCCCCAGAAATCTTCAGGAAATGTTAGACATAAATGTTCTGGCATTTATGAATCTCCTCTCTTTTGGCCTCTCCTGTATCCTTTAGTTTGGCATCTATCACTTCAAATACCCTGTCCAGAGCAGTGGCCATAGAATTCCTTGGGGAGGAGAAGAAAAGCAGTCAGTTCCCACCTGAGAGAGGGGCCAGGCCTGGGTTCTTCATTTACAAGAAATGTATAGTAACCATGATATCAGGCGTGGGTGACACGTGGCCTATTTCCTAACAGGCCATGGACTGATACTGGGCCGTAGCCCAGGGGTTGGGGACTGCAGAAGGTGTGTTCTGAAATGTGGCTTGCTGGTGTAAATGAATTTGCCGAGAACTTTTCAGACTGGACTTGCCTAGCTCCCCTAATAGTTGTGGATATGGTTTTTATAATCAGGACAGCTCATGGCCAGGAAACAGAAGAAAGGAAATCACTGACTTCTGGGAGCATGAACTCTACTAGCTTGTAAGCTCCTTGGGGATAGTACTAAGTCTGTGAAATACACACTTCTATATCCTGGAAGTGTGCCTAACAGAGTACTTGATAATCGTCCTTTTGAATATGGTGCTCTAAGCACATGTCTCACTTGGGCTAATAATGTCCTTTATTTTACTAAGTGCAGTGGAACTCAAAGGTACCAGCAGGTCCACCTCCACACAGAGTGATAAGCCCTAGAGATCTGTCTTGACAGGGACTGGTCATTTAGGAAGACAAAGTCGGCACTACTTTGAGGATAATTATAAGGACTTACCTTTGGCAGGTAACTATTTTGCTGAGTGCCTACCATATGCCAGGCACTATTCTCATTTAATTTCACAACATTAAAATAGAGTACAGTACGCATTATTTCCTTCATTTATGTAAGGGCGAATGAATGAGGCTCAGAGAAGTTAAATAAATTGCTCAGTCACAGCTAGTGAGTGGTGATTTTGGAATGTAAACTCAGGTGTATTCAACTGCAAAGACCACCCTCTGCCTAAACCACCACCTGCTACATAGCAGGTGCTCAATAAATATTTGTGGAATGGATGAATGAATTCCCCTCTCCCCTCCATCTTCTCCATTAGCCTACACTGTCTTCTCCCTGGTTTCTCCTCTGACCTGGCCTGACCTTTCAAATGACATTGACCTGAACCTAAAGGTTTTTGAAGAGGCATCTGTTAAAATGCAACGCACCTCAGGCCTCTTTTGACACCTTAGCATAAATCGCTTCTCTATCATCCAGGCCAGTGCAAAGGGCCGGGATTGGTCCAGGTAAATTTGGATTGGGAAGAGGGGAAGAGGTGAAGCCTGCAAAGGAGTGAGGGAAGGGAAAAGGCCAGAATAAAGTGTCTGAAGACAGAATTACTTTTGCGAAAATTTCAAAAGGGTCAGGCACCATTTTCTCCTGGGATGCCCAACACATTTGCAGAATTATCAGAAATCAAGCCCACTGTCCAGGACCCTGCATGATTTGGGTCTTTAAGGTAGGCCATCCCAGACCCAGGGCCCCTGGGGTCCGGCCAAGCCGCCGCATCTCCGCTTCGGGGCGGCGGTGGCCCCCGCCCGGGAGTGGCCCGGCCGGTCCCCGCAGGCGGGCAGGAGCTCCGAGGCCATTGGCTGGCGCTCTGGCGGCGGAGGGGCGGGGAGCGCCGCCGAAGGGGACTGTTTGCTCCTACGGGCTGTAGATGGAGCTGTCCGGCCCCGGCGAGGGGGAAGGCGCCTGGAAAACGTTCTTCTTCTCCCTGGCCGGCCCGAGCGGGGAACAGCACTCCCAGGATGCAGTTTGTGTCAACACGGCCGCAGCCTCAGCAGCTGGGCATCCAGGGCCTGGGGCTGGACAGCGGGAGCTGGAGCTGGGCCCAGGCTCTGCCCCCGGAGGAGGTCTGCCACCAGGAGCCGGCGCTGCGCGGGGAAATGGCCGAGGGAATGCCGCCCATGCAGGTGGGAGCAGCCCCGCCGGCGCCATGGCCGCTGCCGTGGGGGCGGGGCGCGGGCCGGGGCCGCGGGGACCGGGCGGCGCGTCCTCGGAGGCCTCGCGGCTCCCTCGCGTGCGGCGCCAGGACCAGGCCCGAGGCGGGCGGCGCGCGGGCGGCTGCGCGGCGGGCAAGGCTGAGCGGGCCCGACGCAGGCCCGGGGCGCAGGCCCGGCCGCCGAGCGCGCTTGCCGGGCCGAGTGCCCGCCGGGGTGCGGAGGCCTCGCGGCCGGGCCCGGGCCCCCCTTCCCGGGAGCCGGTGGAGCCGAGAGCCGTCGCCGAAGCCCAGCCGGGCTCCCCTTTGCGCGGCTGGTGGAGGGGCTTGCTGGCACTGCTCACTCCGGGGGCGGGAATGAATGCCCCATCGAGGTTTACGCTGCAGCCAGTTTGACCAAAAGCTTTTCAAAATGTTTTATTGCCATCTTTCACCAAATGTGAGGAGTAACTCACTTTTCCTCTGCACCGGGTGTGAGCCAGGGAAGGGGTGACTTTGTCGTCTTTCCGGCCGTTGGCAAAAGGCTGCACCCTGAAGTCGCCTGGGCAGCTCCCGATGCCCTGGCCTCGTCCCAACAGGCTAACACAGAGTCTCTGGGGCCAGAGGAGGCACCGGCCGCTTGAGGCTCCCTCAGTGATCTCCGCGGGCAAGGTCTGAGAACCAGTGCTCCAGAATTGGGTATACACAAGGGGGTCCTGAGAGCACCCTGGTGACTTCCCCAGAGAAAGGTCTTTGAGGGCCCTGGCTGCTCCTCAGAGGCCCCCTCTGCTCAGTGCCGGGCTCTCACTGGTCAGCCAGGAGCTGCTCTTTTGTGTTTGATCATTTCTTAGCTTTAGGTCCTCAGAAAACTCAGCTGGGCCGGTGACTTCCTAAACTTCCACTGTCAGCCCTGTCCCCTCTGTGGCCTGGGCTGGAGTGAAGCCTCCAGGAGCCCAAATGGAGCCTTTGATGGAGATGCTGCCACCTCTGACTTAGCAGGGTCTGGTGTTCCTAGAGCCCTGCTCTCCACTCTTCCCTGTCATGCAGCCATTCTCAGAAGGCCATAGGGTCCCCCTCTGTGGCCGTCGCAGCTGCTGAGTTAGAGAGGGTGGCAGGCATGCTTGCCATTGGCCTGCCCACGCTACCTCAAAGCAGCAGGTCTCTGCTTTTCCCAACCTGAAGGCTTCTTCATCAGCAACAGGGAGAACAGAAAACGACTCCTCCGGTCCCACATGGGAAAGAGAGTTGGTTATCAGCCCATGCTGTTGTCCAGTGAGCCCTGGGTGCTGGCACAGTGTGACACTAGTTCCCCAGATGACCAGTGAACTGTGACCACCTTCACTGTTCTCTCTTGGCCTCAGGGCTCAGCTCCCAAGCTGCACCTCCTGGCCTCACCTTCTGGGGTAAGGGCCCTGTGCTGGAAGGTACAGGCAGAGGCCCCAGGCCCTGGGGCACCCCTTCCCCAGGAAGCAGGCGGGGAGCCCAGAGGAATTTTTCTCTGTCTTAGTCTTCTTGGGGGTGAGGGGTGTCCCTTTTTCCCCCTCTAATGAGTGACAATTTTTGGTACACCTATTTTCATTTTGCAAAATATTTATGAAACAACAGTTGTAGTAATGTATGGAGGGATAGCTGCTTGTCTGCCCTCTAGCTGGGGCTCTCTGGTCTCTCCCTTGACCGCAGCCCTGGTAGGCATGGCGGTGTCAACACCTACCTGAAGGGTGTTTTTGTTACCTGCAGCACCTAGAGCTGCTCCAGTTGGCAGTGCAGGGAGGCGCTGTAGGATGACCGGTCGCTTCTCTGTGCCTTGGTTTCATCATCTTTAAAGCAGAGATCATCATTCTTGCCCTAACCTGCTGAGAGATTGCTGGGAAGATTAGCATCAGATAACTTTCATGCAAGTTCTTACTTTGAAGCAAAAAACACTAGGGAAATATGAAGTTTGTCTGTAAGTCTGGCCCTTGAAGAAAACAGCTGTTCTAGTCAAAGAAAGTGGTCTGCAACATTTTAGGCAGGCGTCACGGCCTTCGCTTGCGAAGGGTCAAGGTGGGTTAACTAGTGACAAACCTGACTCCCATAGGCAGGAGGTGGGAGAGAGGTTAGTTGGGTGGCTGGGTGCCTGGCGCTCCAGCTATTGCTGAGGGCACCGATGAGCGCCGGAGCCTGAGGGGCAGGTGCTTGGCAGAAGGAAGACAATCTATAGCATTTGGTTAGTTGTCCCCTGATCTTAAGCCACCTTCCCCCCCCCACACAAGGTCTGTGTGAGGGGGCTGTCACTTGGGCTGGGCTGTCACTTTCTCCCTTCATACACAGGCTCAGGAATGGGACATGGACGCCCGGCGACCGATGCCTTTTCAGTTCCCGCCCTTCCCGGACAGGGCGCCTGTCTTCCCTGACCGCATGATGCGGGAGCCTCAGTTGCCCACAGCGGAGATCTCGCTCTGGACCGTGGTGGCTGCCATCCAGGCTGTGGAGCGGAAGGTGGATGCCCAGGCCAGCCAACTGCTGAACCTGGAGGGGCGCACGGGGACAGCTGAGAAGAAGCTGGCCGACTGCGAGAAGACGGCCGTGGAGTTCGGGAACCACATGGAGAGCAAGTGGGCCGTGCTGGGGACCCTGCTGCAGGAGTACGGGCTGCTGCAGCGGCGGCTGGAGAACTTGGAGAACCTGCTGCGCAACAGGAACTTCTGGGTCCTGCGGCTGCCCCCGGGCAGCAAGGGGGAGGCCCCCAAGGTATGTGGGGGTCCCTGGTGGGCAGGGATGGAGGTGAGGAACGAAACCCTTGATTTTATTTTCTCAGTCCTTCTCACAAACTCCTCTGGCTCCTGTTGACTAATTTCAGTGTCTTCTTAAAGCCTGTCTCTGCTTTATCTAGTGTGGAATGTTCTGGCCCAGTAAGGCTGGCCTCTACTCGTCCCCCACAGAATCTGCATGTTTGTGTCTTGGATCCTTTGCCGTCACCAGATCCAGACCCTCCCGGAGTCTTCCGGTTGTCTGCAGATTCCTGCAGTTCTTCACTCCTTGCTTCGTCCACTTGGCACCTACTAGTGACCATTTGTCATTGGTTGTCTTCGTATATCCTCATCTGAGCACGGCTGGAGATGGACCCCAAACCACGCAGACCAGATCGCTTTCAAGTCACGATCACTAACCTCAGGCGGGCCCTTCTTGAAGTTCAGAATTCATGCTCCATTTCCTGTTCCATTCGCTCTCCCTCTCTCCCCCGATCATTCTCTGATTTCTATTTCGCCGAGAGAACGGGGTCACTCAGAAGGGGCTTCCACAGGCTGCGTTTGTTCATCCACCTGTTGCCTTGGTGTGCCTGCAGACTCTGCCTTCCCTTGTTGCTGGGGCGTGGTGTCTATGCCCTTCCCCCTTTGCTGGGGGTCTCCCTAGCGTCTCCCCCCTTTCTCCACATCATGAGCTTTCCCCGCTAGGCTGGGTCCTTCCCCCCAGCATGTGAACCCTTCCTCCCTCTGCCCATCTACGTAGCAAAAAACCTCCACCTACTGCCTCACCTCTCTGCTCCTTTTTAGAGCAGAATCCCTTAAAAGAGAGCTGTCTGTACTTGTTACCTCCAATTCTTTCCTCCCTATCTTCTCCCCTCCTCTCTCTGTTACCCCCTCTTTTTGTTACAGAATATTCAAACATATACAAAAAGTAGATAGAATAGTGTTGTGATCCCCCATGAACCCTCATCCAGCTTTAACAGAAATCAACTCTTGGCCAATCTTGTGTCATCTAAGTCCCTACCCACTTCCCCCTCCCATTTTATTTTGAAGCAAATTCCAGACGTTAATCATTTCGTTTGTAAATATTTCAGTCTTAGCTCTAAATGGTAAGGACTCTTTTAAAAAAATGACCTCAGATGTTACCACCACTACCCGCACAGTAACCTACTCAAATATCCAGTCGATGGTCAAATTTTCAATTGTTTCCATTTTTTTTTTGTTTGAATCAGGATTTAAATATGGTCCACACATTGGGATTGAGATGTCTCTTAAGTCTTTTTTAATCTATAGGCTCCTCCTCCATCTCGTACTTTCCCTCACAATTTGTCTGGGGAAGGAATTGGGCCGTCTGTCTTGTCGCGTGTCTGACTGAGCTCTGCTGATTGCATCGCGTGGTCTCATTTGACGTTTCCTCTCTTCTCAGCGTTTCCAGGAAATTGGTAACTGGCTCGTTCTCTCTGGAACCCACGAGGATCAGGCCTTTGCTCCCTTGTGCTGTGCCTGGTCTCACAGCCAGGGGCTGGCTCTCAGTCTTGGTCCCAGCACTGTGTGCAGGTGACCACTCCCTCCTCGAAACCCTCTCGCGTGGCTTCCAAGACACTGCTCTCTCTCGATTCTTTTCCTACCTCACTAGCTGCTCTGTCTCAGTCTTTGCTGGTTTCGCCTCCTTTGCCAAGTGTGGAGTGGCCCAGGGCTGTGTGTCGGCCTCCTCTCTCCATTTACGCTCACTCCCTGAGGCCCGATCCGGCCTCGTGGTGCTGAGTGCAGTCTTCATGCTGTCAGCTCCCAGACAGATTCTTTTCCTCCCATTCTCCCTCTCTCCGTGTCTTGCCCAGATGCCTGTTAATTCAGCATCTCCATTTGGGTGTCGGTAAATATCTTAGATTTAACGTGAGCAAAGTGTACTCTAGATCTTCTGCCTGGAACCTGTTCTACCGGAAGTCATCCTCATCTCCGCTGATGACAGTCACATCCTTTCAGGCGCTCAGGCCAAAGCCTTGGAGTCACACTGGTCTTCTTTCTTTCTCACACCCGACTTCCAATATGTTAGTAAATACCGTCTGGTTTTTATTCAGAACATATCCACGATCTGGTCACGATCTGACCACTCCTCGCCACCTCCGCTGCTGTCGCCATCATCTGGTCCGAGCTGCTGTCATCACTCATCTGATGATTGCCATGGCCTCTGACGGGTCTCCTTGTCTCCATCCTTATCCCCCAGCTCGTACAATCTACTGTCAACAGAGCAGCCTGATAATCCTTTTAATACACGAATCAGTCACATTACACCTCCCCTGAAACCCCCCAAATGGCTTCCCATCAGATTCAGAGTAGAAGCCCAAGTTTGTCTATGGCTCACGCTCTCTTCCTGCTTCTCTGACGTCATCTCCCCGCCCCGGTGCCCACTCCCCTCCGCACACTGGCCACCTGCTGTTCTGCCATCATACCGCACAGGCCCGCACTTCAGGGACTCTCCACTGAGAGGTCTTTGCCCGGATATCTGCACAGCTCTGCACCCCGCATCCATCAGGGGTCTGCCCCGTTGTCACTTCATCAGGGTCCCCTCCCATGGCCACCCTCTAAAAAAGGACCAAGTCCCCCAGCACACTCTTCTCCCAGGCCCTGCTCTTATTTTCTCCAAAGCACTTATGCCATTGGCATCTTGAATTTTTTTTTTTTTTTTTTTGAGACAGAGTCTCACTCTTTTTGCCCAGGCTAGAGTGAGTGCCGTGGCATCCGCCTAGCTCACAGCAACCTCACACTCCTGGGCTCAAGCAATCCTTCTGCCTCAGCCTCCCGAGTAGCTGGGACTACAGGCATGCGCCACCATGCCCGGCTAATTTTTTCTATATATTTTTAGTTGTCCGATTAATTTCTTTCTATTTTTAGTAGAGATGGGGTCTGGCTCTTGCTCAGGCTGGTTTCGAACCCCTGAGCTCAAACAATCCACCCGCCTCGGCCTCCCAGAGTGCTAGGATTACAGGCGTGAGCCACCGCGCCCGGCCGGCATCTTTCATATTAAAGATATTATTCTTGAAGACAGTATTCTTTTTTTGTCTTCTTGGTTGGTTTTCCTCAACCAGAATGTAAATTCTGCTTGGTTCACTGGTGGCCCTGGGCCTATAACAGTACCTAGCTTAGAGTTGGTTCAAGAAGTGACTCTCCCCAGCTGGAGAGCTAACAGCTCCATGGAAGGGACCAGGTCTTGTGTGTCTCTGTATCTGCTGAGGCAACCAAACCCAGTGACTTGGCCAGAGTAGTTATTTGACATTTATTTGTTGAGGCTTCACAGAATTGAGTTGTAATAGTGGCTTTGGTTCCTCCACAAAACATTCCCTAGCACTGGGACCCACAGAGACTGGTTTTAGTGTGGTTTTGCGTGTATGGCTTGTCTAGCACAATCAGTGACTGCTCACATACTGCCTTCCTCTCTGGACTGCGCTTTAACTCCGTGCTGTATCCTCACATGGTGCTGTGTGTTCTGTATGTTGACTTAGGCATTCGAGGAATCTTAAGTTGACGTGTGCCCTTACAGAATAATGAAATTGTTCTGGGGCCCAGATTCAGAGGACTTGGGTTTGAATCTTGACTTTGCCACGCACTGGTTTTCCTACCATTGGTCAAATATGTTTCTTGTTGTCTCTGAGCCTCCTCAATTCCTCTTTTGAAAGAAGTGAAGTATAAATAATTAAGTAAATTCCCAGCTGGTTCCTCTGAGTTTTGGTATTATTATCTGTAAAATGAAGATGATAGTATGCTTACTTAATGCAGTTGTGAAGATGAATTGATTTTGTTTATGGGAAAACACTACGCAGGTCATCGTGTTAGTTATGTGCTGCTGTGTCACAAATTACCCCAAAACGTAGCAGCCTAAAAAAAAGTAATATATCATCTCGCCGTTTCTGTGGGTCAGGAATTCAGGAGCAGCTTAACTGAGTGGTTCTGGCTCAGAGTCCCATGAAGTTACAGTCGAGCTATTGACTGGGGCAGCAGCCATCTGTGGGCTCCACTAGGGCTGAGGGTCTGTTTCCAGGATGGCTCCCTCACTGCGGGAGGCCTCAGTTCCTCACCATGTGGACCTTCCCACAGGGCTACTTGAGCTTCCGCATAGCATGGTAGCTGGCTCCCCCCAGAGGGAGTGAGCTGAGAGAGACCAGGATGGAGGCTGCAATGTCTTTTATGACGTTGTCTCGGAAGTTCTACGCTGTCACTTACTGATTTGTTAGAAACGAGTCATGAAATCCTGTCCATGCTTGAGGGGGGAAGAATTAGGATACATCTATTAAAGGGACTGTCAAATAATTTGTGGACATATTTTAATACCACCCCAACCATAAAGCACCTTGAAAATGTTACCTAATGTTGCTAGCAACAGTTATAGCTCATCGTATCCTCTTGCACATGCTAGATGAATTCTCTTCATCTGCCCGATTCAAGGAAAGGTACTGTCTCCAGATCCTTTGTCCCTGTTGGATTCTGCTGTATTTGTAATTGACTCATAGCTAATTCTTGGATAGTCTTTTCCATCCAGACTGACTATAGGCTCCCTGCAGTCCCAGACCATGTCTCAGGCTTCTGCCACGTCCTGTAACAGTTTGAAATAGTGATGTCTGTTTCCAAATGTGAGAATACGATTCCAGAGTTTTGATCCTCCACAGAAATGGCGAAGTGGGTAGCAGAGTTGGTGTGGTGGAAAGGTAGCGAACCTGGCTTTGGATACATTTACTCTGAGGTACTTAAAGGTGACTAAATGGAGCTACTCAGAAGGCCATTGAACTCGAAGGGAGCAAGGAAAGTTGCAGAGCATCCTCCGCAAGGTGGTGACAGCTGAAGGGCAGAGAGTGAAACTGCCAAGAGGAAAGTGACAAAACAGGGAACGGTAAGGACAGGGCCTTAGTCATGGAGGAGGAAGAGGAAAAGTAAAGAAGACATGAGCCAAACGGACAGGAGGCAACACAGTTACGGGAGCCAAGCAGGAACATTCTAGAAAGGTGGTCTGATCTTCCAAAGAGGTCAGGGAGGGTGAGGATTTCAATAGAAGGGGGGCACTGATGGTCTTCTTGGGTGTGGTTTCAGACAGCGGAGGCTACAGCGGCAGGTCTTAAAGGGGTAAAGCGGGCGCAGATCATGAAGAAGAAAAGACAGACTACATCTCGGGTTGTTTCAGGTGCAGAGCGGAGCAGAGTAACTTGAGGTAGCAGAGCTGAGAGAGGCTTTTCTGAGGTTGAGATGGTCCTGGAGGGAACAAGTTGGTGGAGCGGGAGAAGCTGAAGGTGTGAAAAAGAAGAGATTGTTTGGGTTAAGTTTCACAGGCCGGAGGTGGAGGAAAAACGAAGGGCACTAGCGGGGGTGGCCAAGCAGGAAGGAGGAGGATGAGGAAGGAGCAACATCCCCTGAGATCCAAGGTGGATGGGAGAAGATGGGGAAGGCCAGGCGGAGGTGTGGGAGAGCGAGAAGTTTGGAACGAGCCTCCCAGGGAACATAATGAGGGGTCAGCAGGAGATCAGCGAAGGACTGTGAGACACTGGAATTTACGGAGGATGTTGTCTGCAGGATTTTGTCAATTTCATCCGGCAACGGGGAATTTAAATGAAGAAAGGGATCTATATGAATTTCCCTAGGTTGGGGGTTTACCTGAGTCTGGTGGAAAGTCCAAGGAGTTCAGAGTTCTAGTTGTGATTCTGGAGATGGGCGGTGAGCCATCAGCGAGCAGGGACGGGCCACGGCACACGGGGTGCACCTCGCAGATGCACGGGGCACCCTCAGTCCCGTGCACCTGGCTCGAGGGCTGACGTTTCCAATTCGTGTAAACGTGCTGCCCGCTCACCACGCCGTGCGCCTGACTCTGCTGTCTTTTTCTGAGTCGCACCAAGGTGCCACGTGATCCAGCTTTGGCCCTGTAAACGCAGGTGCGAAGACTAATGGACTGGGATTGGGGCTGGGGGAGAATGGAGGAGTCGGATTGTTTAGAGCGAGAGTGAAAGGCTGGCTCCGTAGGGTCGTGAGAGTGGTAAGAGGGAAGCCTGTGTGGCCACAGAAGGGAGTTCAGTTAGTAAAGTTATGGAAGTGAAATGATTTCGAACAATTCAGTCCAAGGTGCGGTGGTGCTGGTGAGTGGCTGAAGTAAGGACTGAGGAGGATCCTTGTCAACTTGAAAGAATAGCTTTATGTCACAGATCAGGGTGCCTTGACAATTGGGTGACCTCAGGCAACGAGTCAGGCTCCCGCCGAACTTCCTAGCACTGGCCCCCCGTGGGTGCTCAACACACTGGACAAGTGTCTGTTGACTCCCTGCTGTGTGCTCCTCTAGCGTAAGATACAGCGGGGAACGGAGCAGACCAAGATCCTGGTGCTTTAGCACATGCCTTTAGATTTTTGTTTTACTGACAAAAATGTAACTGTGTACACAGAGGCGACCCGACCTGAAATACAGGTTTGATAACAGTTTTACTGCGCTTGGCTCACTGATACCCACTCTGAGAACCTGCCACTGTCTGTCACCCTGAGTGCCCAAAGAAGCACACTGGCTGCACTTTACCTTTGGGTATCCAGTTGACCTAAAAGTGAAATAACAAAGGATATGATTAAATGCTTTCTAAAAAAGGCGGGGCAGCATCCACGGTCATCGTTACTGGGAGCACGAGAAGACCAGGGACAGAGGACTGGCTGCACTGAAATGGGCTGCCCCGGGCTGGGGGCTGGGACTCGGAGGTGGGGGCAGGCGGGAGCCGTGGGGCAGGGGCCAGGCTCAGGGCTGAGGTGGGGCCCACAGGTGCAGGTGATGGGGGGAGGAACAAGCAGGAAGTACTGGACTAAAACTCTCATTGGCTCAGGTTCCGGTGACTTTTGTCGACATTGCTGTTTACTTCTCTGAGGACGAGTGGAAGAACTTGGACGAGTGGCAGAAGGAGCTTTACAACAACCTTGTTAAGGAGAACTACAAAACCCTGATGTCACTCGGTAAGGACACCTCTCCTCTCTGGTGCGCAGTCTCTGG